CAGACACCTGTACAATCACCGCAACAGGTAGCTGCCTGGCAGGCGCAGACACCACGCAACGCGCGCGAAGTTAAGTCTTAAATTGGTCTCATTTAAGAGAGCGTGAGAAAACGCCGTGGGTCTTCTGCTAATTCACTTACTAAGTAGATCGCGTAGCTGAGTAAGGGGGCCTAGCAAATGGCACATAAAATGACGCTTATGATGGAGGAAATGGGTACGCTTTGAGCGGCTCTTGACGAGTTAAATAAGCGTAAAAGCTGCAAGCGGCGATACGTACGGACAGAAGAGACTCTTACTGTAGGCGAAGTACAAGAAGTATTAGCTGAACAGGCGGGTAGCAGTCGTGGTGATGGTGAGAGTGCGTCGAAGAGGGTGCGAGGAGAGCGGCGGTGCGGGCGTTGCAAGCAGACTGGACACAACGCTCGTACCTGCGTAGTTGAGATAGATAGTGCAAGTGATAATAGCAATTCTAACAATTAATTTAGTGTATCGCAATAGTTTATTGACTGTGATACAAAACTATAATAACGTGTTGATGTAGATGTAGTGGTGGGGCGTTAGCGACTCGCTTGGGTTAGCGACTCACTTGTGAACCACGTTAATTACTAGAATTAATTCTAAGTTAGTGTATGTGTGGTGTAAAAGGTCAACCTTCTGCACCTTGCGGAAGCTTAAATAGATATAGTACAACACACCCCCTAGATTAACTACCTCCTTAAGTAGATTAATCTAAGTATAGAGGAAGATCTCTATTTAAGCGTGCGTAATAAGAGTAGGTAAAGAAGGCTAGCGCTAGCTCTAGCTCTAGCACTAGCTACTAGCTCTACTAGCTCTTTAGCTCTAGCTCTGCTCTAGCTACTAGCTTCTGCTATAGCTACTAGCCCTAGCTCTTACGTCTATAGCTGTGGCTCGCTTATAGTTACCTACTCTAGTAATCTACTATAGAACCTCTATTTATTACCTTAAAAGTAGCTACTAGGCTTATAACTATAGTGTAAAAGGTTAACCTTCTACACCTTATAGAAGCTTAGATAGATATAGTATAATTATATAACGTGGTTCATAAGTAAGTCACTAATATAAATAAGTCGCTAACGCCCTACTACTATATATACATTAACACGTTATTATAGTTTTTTATTATAGTTAATAAACTATTATAATACACTAAATTTGTTATAGGCGAGAGAGGCCTAACTAACGAGTATGCATTCACCTATTGTATAGAAGAAGAAAGATACAAAAAAGAACTATCTAGAGGGCCCTCCTTTTATAGTTATTACTTATACAAACGCTTAGACCTTTAGTCTTCCTCCTTACTTAAGCTTATTTGTACGTAGCTAACTACGTTATTTAGTTACGTGACTAAAGTTATGTGATTTACTACTATGTGACCTATAGGTTATACCTCTTTAGCGTAGCCCTTTATAATACTCCCCTCCTTTACCTTATCTAATATCACGTGCGTATTCTTTAGTCTTCTTTTCTTTTCTCTCTATCTATTTGCTATTACATGTTTAGCGTCTTGTATAGTTAAGGTAAAGGCAAATAGTAAAAGTAAGAGAGAGTTAGGCAACAGTGCTATATAGCAAACGCTGTCTAGCGAGCATAAATACTCTTCTTCCCCTACTTACTACTTGTTTCCTCTATCCCTTTAGCTTTAACTTTTCTCTTATTATAGTTACTTTCTTAAGTCTTCTTATATAATAGCTAATTGTGGGGTATAGGCTAACAGCTAAGTTAACGCCTTACGTTTCTACACGAATAGTGGAGTTAACAACACTATTAAGCAAGCAACTACTTAGATCTTCAATATTGCTTATTAGTTGCTTACTTATACAACGCTAGGTGCTATCTAGGCTATAGCGCCTATTATTATTAGATAGGTTAACCTTAACAACTACTAGGTCTAGTATATTTTTAACGCGCGGGTTGCTAAAGAGATTTACTAAGTGTTTGCTACTACTCTTATAAGTGTCGCTTTCTTATTATACGTCTAAATTAGCTAACTAGTGTAGCCTAAGCTTCGCTAGGTCTTTAACATGTTCTACTATCTAAGGGGGCTATCGCTCTATAATGCTACCTTTAGTCCTAGCCTTAGTAGTTATTCGCCTATTGTTGCCCGTATAACGCTCTATGCCTGTCAAATCTTAGGTAGCCAATCTTTGTACCTTAAGGCCTTCCTTATCTATTCGCGAGGCGCCCTTAATGCTACATTTTACAATAACTATGCGCTAGTCTTAGATAGGGCGAAGGAGTTTACAGCCTTTGCTAGTTGTGTCTCTATCTATAGAGAGTGGGAGAGTGCGTGTAGCAATTGCATCTAGCAGGACTATGGCGCCTGTTATTTAGTAGAAGGAGGGGACAGTTCGTTCGTCCGTACGCCAGCTAAGCGTCGTCTTCTAGGCACTAAGAGAGATTG